GTTGTTTCCCGTTTAATTTGTTTGAAATGATTTGAATTATTGGATTTCACTATGCTATGATGCTACCGATAGTATGATAATAGAAGAAATTTTCGATTGTACTTGATGTAAAATTAATATTCTCTAATCATTAATGGTGTACTAGTACAACACCCGTGTATTACACGGGTGCTTGTTAGTTTTTTTTTTCTTAAAATCTAAAATTAATGAGAAAAAGTAGTTTGAAAATTTAAATACATTTTATAAGAATATATATATTATTATATATTTCTTATGACACTTTTTATTTGTGCAACTTACTTGTGTTATATTATACTAATTTTTTTAACTTACAATATATAACTACATTACATATAAATAAATATATCAATTGAGAAATAATTTTATTTTTCTAATGAATTTTAATAAATATTATTATTTTTTATTATTATAAAGATAAATATAATTTATTTATTTCATATATACAATATGAATGTCAAATCGAAGATCATCAAAAGATGATTAATTTGATATATTATATATGTAAAACCGATAAGAAATACAAAAGTTATCAACTTTTAAAATACATATATAATTCAATAGCTTATTGAATGAAACAAATCAAAATTCAGGGATATATTAGTCACTTAGTGTCTCACTATGTAAAATTACAATGAATTAAAGGGTTATATTAGTAAAAGTGATATTAAAATAACTAAGTTAACTAAATAATATTTATGGAATACCCGAACCTAGATTATTAATTATTAATATATCAATATTATTTATCCAAACCTAATTACGAAGCATGATTTTTCGCCAAATAGGATCCCGAAGCACCAGAAGCAGTCACGTAGGCTCAGCGCATTTGAGAATTATACAGGGGCGAAGCCATCCTCAAATTTCACCGGGGTCGACAATATTTTTTAGTGGGGTCGTTAACCTAGTAAACAGTGTTTGAATAGTATTTTATACTAAAAATTTTGAAATCTATAGGGGTCAGCTGACCCCTACATTAACATGTAGCTTCGCCACTGAAAGTATATATAGGGAGGATGTTGTATGATTCTTTTTTTTTTTCTTTAAATTAACTAGTTTCTCCCTAAGAATCGCTACAAAGTAAGTTTTGTCTTATAAATGGATAATGGTGACCAAAAATTGATTATTTGCAATTTTTTATGAAGTTATACTAGCAAGTTTTGTCTTATAAATGGATAATGGTGACCAAAAATTGATTAATTGCAATTTTTTATGAAGTTATACGGGAGAGGTGTCACGAAAAAAAATTTGAGTGAGTAAAGTAAAAAAAAAAAACGTAGAGTTTGGTGGGTAAAGGGTAATTTTTTTAAAAAATCACTGAAAAGTCAACTTTGCCCTTAGCAATACCCTGACGATGAGCAACAATTAGTTAAGTGCAATTTCTTGCAAAGCTAATGTAACACGAAAAAAAGTTGAATAAATAAAATGCACAAAAACTTATAATTAGGTGGGTTAAGTGATTTTTTTCCCATAAGAAAAAGGGCTTAAGTACATACTTGTTCGTAGTTGGTTTCGGTAAAGACATTAATCGATACAATTTTTTTACTTGCCACTTTACGTAATTTAACTTTTCTTAATTTCAAAATCTGATAAATAAATAATGATGTTATTTTTTATGCTTGATTGCTTGTAATCTCTTAAGATAATTTTATTAGTCGAAGACACTTAAGATAATTTTCAGTTTATCTTAAATTTATTACATTATCTTTATTAAAAATTAATTTGAATTTATGGTTAATCATAAGTATATCTTAAGTATTTTTTTTATTTGTTTACTAAATAATAAAAAAAAATCTGGTTAAATCTTAAGTATATCTTAAATATATCATAAGTATATTATCTATTTTTTTAATAAATCATAAAAAACTAGTTAATCTTAAGTATATCTTAAGTATATTGTCTATTTTTTTAATAAATCATAAAAAATTTGAAAGGACAAAATCAAAAGCAAAAAATAAACTAAATATAAACTATAGATAAACCAAAAGAATACAATAGATAAACTATAGATAAACAAAAAGAATACAATCAATAACTAAATCATAAAAAACAAAAAACAATATAACTAATATTTAAACCAAAAGAATACAATCAATAACTAAATCATAAAAATCAAAAGCAATAAATAAACTAAATATAAACCATAGATAAACCAAAAGAATACAATCAATAACTAAAATCAACTCAAATAAACATCAAACTAAATATGAAAAAGTTGTTTTCATAGAACTTAATTACAAACTATTTAAGCAAGACAACTCTATACCAATTCCTCACGATTTGCAGTGGTCACATTTTCCATCTGTCGCCGAATGCGAAGGTGCAGCTGCCGGTGGTGGACGAAGGTCCCGTTGGAATTTTTCGCCGGAGTAACTCAGATCTTAAATCCAACAACTCATTAATTTAAAATCAAACCTGCACAACAAAAAAAGAAATTTAACACTCAAAAAAAAATACTTAACCAAAAAAAACTTCTAGATATTTTTCAAACTCACAGTTTTAAGAAATCATAGATAAACATCAAATTAACACTCAAAAAACTATAAAAAATAATTTTCCAGAAATTAACACACGTAAAGACATTTAATACTACAAAATCTACTTTATAAAAAGCTTCAACAATTTAATCAAGCTCTCATCTTCAAAAAAAAAAAATCATAGATAAACATCAAATAAAACATCGAACTGACTCAAAAATATGATACTTTAATTGTTTTTTCCCAAAACTTAGCACACGTAAATTAGAAAAAATGAGAATCGGACTCATCAAAAAAATACGAAACGCAACTCATCACTTTTCCGACTTTCGAATCCCCATTTTCACATCTCTTTCTCCTCGATGCTTGCTATCTTCTCGTTGATAAACCGAGCCACTTTTCAACAAGAAATCTCATTCAAGGTTCCATTAGTAAAATTTCCACAATTCACATATTCTCTTCAATCCCAATTTCCAATTCTAAGAATATTAAAAGCTCTCATTCTCTTTTCAAGACATAAAAAATTCTTCAGTGTAAAAGAGAGACGTTTCATTCAGTAAACTAGCAAGAACTGACCTCAAAACTCCCCATTATCCAGAGCCATCGAGTTATTGTCTTCCTCCATCGGAAAATCCTCAGTCACTTCCATCTCCTCGTCCCCAATCTCCGGCAAAGCAATCACCACTCGATCCCGTGAACCACCAGCCACTCGCTTTCGTACAGCTCTGGGAAAGTGATTTCGACTCAATTCACCATCATTGTATTAACTTCATCCTTGATAATCTCCAAGCTAAAGCCACTCACATTGTTGGAAACAACAGTCCCATTCGCCATCTCATCCATATCATTCCACATCACTTTGCATGGAGCCAAATGCCTCATGAACAAAGAAGAGAGGCCTACAAAAACCCCGGAAAACTGGACCGATTCCTTGTCCATCGCTGCAAAAACTGTCCACGGTTTCACAGAGTTCCCAAAAATCCAATGAGCTGCAGTTCGAGAGATTAAAAAGATTACAGAATTAATCAATTACTGAACAACAAAAAAAACATAGCACCCAAATATCTCAACAAACTAAATAACACAACATAAAAAAATGACCAACTGAAATCGAGGGAAAATTGAGCAGAAAGCAGCAAAACAATTTACAGTTGTTTTCATATAGAGGATGAATATCGGATCTAGGGTTCGTTGGCCGCATCTGCATCCGCTACGGTGAAATTCAGGTTGAACAAACTATCAATTGTGTAGATTAAGTTAAATCCGTCGTAAAAAATGGGGCTATCAAAGACTCCAATGTTGTTGATGGATATTTGTTCGGGCTGGCCGGAGGTCACGACGAGGTGGCTGGCGGTGAAGAGGGACGGGACTGTAGAGGCAAAGGGCAAGAGAGGAGGGATGATGGGGAGAGAGGGGGGAGAAGT